ATGAGGAATGTTAAATGGCTCTGCTGCATATTAACACTCTTAGCCCACTGAGTCAGGCATGCGTATTATGCACACATGGCTCTTGCTCACAGCTTACTATTTTTTTGTCTGTACGCATGAGCATAACAGGTCACTCTTGACCTGATGGCATTTTTGCAGAAGGTGAAATGGGATGGTATCCAATAACAAGGGCAGAAGCCTCCCCTCCGTTTTATGAAGGGGTTAGAGAAAACAGCCTCTTTATATCCATCTCACACACTAATCTTATAGTTCATGATGCTGTAAAGAAGAAGAATTTCCACTAATGTCATACTGGAAAGAATTATTTGGAAAACGTGGAACTGCAAAGCCAATCATGAGAAATACAAATTATATTTCTTACCCATTTCATGAGGAATTTCATGGCATAAAATAGCAATAGTTGTTGTCACACCTGCTTCTGTTGAGGATGAGAATGCCGCTCCTATTACCAAGCCATCAGCAAAATTGTGAAGACTGTCACCCACCAGAACCATTATTGCTAACAAGCTAATTTTCTTGCCTGGGAAAAACAAACAACAAAAAAGCCCAGCATTTTTAGCACAGATACTGTAATATTTGCTATGTTACAAATTATTTGGGGTTTTGTGACTTCACATATAACATTATGAAAAGTCACAATAATCAGAGGAAAACAGAGTTTATCCTGTTTGTTCTTGTTATTACACTTCCCTCAGTATATTAGAAATAAAAGGTAGGTGTAGAATACTTCAGAGATGCAAATACCAGGAAGTAGCTTCCTTATTTTTACTAGGTAAACTAGTAGACAAAAAATTAGAATATGTTTTAAGTCCAGCCTCGTAATAATCCTAAAGGTTGCTGAAATTCATGTTTTCCTGTATGTTTGGGGTTTTTTTCGTTTAAATGGTGGGGATTTTCCCAACATTGCTCATAGAATTACACAGCTATAGTGAAGATGAACACTGATCTCATGCAGCTGATCATTTTAATACTGTAAAGCATGCTGCTACTGAGTGATACTGGGTCTGTTTTTTACGAGATTGTATTGCAGTGAAAAGACACAGATGAAAGCCAACAAGCCTCAGTGTTTCCCTATTAGTACAGTGTTAGAGCGTGCTGACTTCCAACTTTTGTTCCAATCAACTAGTGGCTGTTATGCTTATAGTACTCCTATTTGCAGCATCACTCATGGATGCAGATGGCTGGTTTTATCCATACTGTTCTGTGACCTTGCTTTAGTATGGAACAGTACATTGGATGTCCATCATCAGGCAACAGACATGAGTGGAAAGATGCTACTAGTGATACTTATATCAAGCTAGGGAATTAGGGATCATCTTCCTGTTCACCCTGTAACCCAGACAGTTGGGTAACATGCTGAATGGATTCACGGGGAGGGATTTTATCTCCTCAGGTAGCAAGGAGGCTCCATTCACTGGTTCGATATCTAGGCTTAGAAACGTATAGTTGGCTCCCCTACCTTGTACATTGTTCCAATAATTTTATCCATAATCTGATAAGCAGGACCTCTTAATGTGTCTCAGGAAACTCATCCAGCTTCCCTCTGCACAGTATGGACAGAACACTTTGAAAAGGATTCCTTTTCTGCCTGAAGAAACAGGGTTGTGATTTAGACCCTAAACATGTATTTTCCTGACTTTTGATGGCCCCACACAGACATAATACGACAGCCTAAGGAGCTAATGTGAAGCTGCACAGAACTGTCTGAATATAGTTATTACAAGGTTTCACTTCAGTAATGTTTTTGCAGAGATGACCATTTTACAGTGATGGGGGAGATGTTTTTCTTTCAGAAACTGGCTAGAACTGAAGTCTTCAGACTATTATAAAAAAAAACCACACAGCACATAAAAGCCTAACAACTGTATTCAGAAAATCCTCCCTAGTTGCCTGGGAGCTCTGCGGGTTCAGAAAATTTGGCAGGCTTGTTAGATTTTCCTGCCAGCTTACAGAGCTGGAAGTGGATGTCCCCAGTTTACGCAGTTCTTTCTAAACACTAGGGGCAGTTTTGTAATCGATAGTGCAGAGCATGAATTACATAGAAATAATAGATTGCTGCATTAGAGTAAGTTTGTGATTCATAATAAGCACTGGCAAGGACAAAATCATGGCCTGCCCTAAGATATTATTAGTCTGTTTTATTCAAGTATCTGATTGTTGAAGAAGATATACCATGGTTACTGGAACTCACTCCAGTGTGTTGTCTATAATATAACATAGGGATCAGGTTAGCATTATGAAGCAATTGCAAATGTAAGCTTTGTGAACTTACTTGACTGAAAGTTGAGAGATGCATATATAAACAAAACCGAATGTTTATCTTAATTTACTTTAAGCCTATTTTAAAGCAACTTTGTTATTAGCAATTATCTCATTGCATTATACTGCTGCAACAGTAACTGTTAACTATGAACTTACTACCCTATTTCTATAAAGACACGTCTTCTTAAACAATCTTGCATTTATTCTTGACAATTTTCTCTACTTAAATTGGTGATCAGAACTCATAGCAAATTCTATTTCATAATTTTCAAAAAGCTAATGGGTACAGGACCCCCACCATAGATTAAGTTTTTAAAACATTGAAGAAGAGTTTAAAGCAAACATTTATCCATAAATAGGTCCTTTTGCTAATGTTTTTATTACTTATAGAGCAAAAATAGTTCAAGTTAATGCAAAGTCTCACTGAGTATACCAAATATATAATGCTATTATTTGACTTTTTCAGATATTGGTAGAACAAGTGTGGATAAATGAGAGGGCTGCTTATACATCTTTTTCTTCTAATAGCTTCTTGATTTCTGAATTACTCACTGGCTATCTAAGGTGATGACTTTTCTTGCAGTCCTACTTGACATGCATTTACAGAGAAGTCTGGCACTTCTGGAGATATCAGGCTTCTGTCTTAGAGCTGCAGATTCCATTCTATTTTGGGAATAAAAACCACCTGATAGTTTAGCTCAGTACCAAGGTACCTAGGTATGTTTATACATTTAGTTATCCATACGAACGTAACAATACAAACTTTTGAAAACATGCATTCTCAAAAAAATCCTCCTAAAAAAACCCAAAACAATGCCCCTTTCCTGATACACTCTCTCTTACTAATTTCCAATATAGGAGTAAGATTGGGATATAAGATAAAAATGGAACCAAACAAAGAACATTGCTGAGAAACTATCCCAAATTTAGTTATTTGGAACAAGTAACGTTGAGAACACTAGAAATTCATTTGTGCTTAGCAGGTAGTGATGATTGAACAGAATGGAAACATCTAGAGATGGACTAAATAGTCACACTGAAACTGGCACTGAACTTTGTACTGCTGGATAGCTGAGACTGAAGCAATGGAAATCCTAATTTCAAAAGCCTCAGAAGTGGAAATGGAGTGCACAAAAACAAAGAATATTAAAAATTTAGAAGAAGATAATGACATTTTTAAATAAGTCAAACTGATGACCTGAAATCCAAGATCACAAAATAAAGGGGAGTTGATTATAGTAAATAAACTGATTTCAGTTAAAATGAATGACTACAACTCTATTAAATTCACCAAGTTCACACAAGTACAGTCAAAGGCGGAGTTTGGTTTATGCTCTATTTTCCCAGTTTTTGGAAGAGGTAGCAACAAGACAGAGAAGAACTACTTTGAAGCTCTCTGGAGAAAACAGATAATCCTAAAACTGAAAGCCCTCAAGAGCCCTAAATTCCATACATGCAGTAAATAATTATTGGTTTAAAGAGGCTATTACTTTACCATGTAAGAGAAGAAGGAAGCAGAATTATATTAGTACAGCAAGCCAACAAACCCATCATCTCACTACTTTCAGAAATAAAAGCTCTAGCAAAGTTTACAATTATGAAAATCTGGTTTGTATTAAATTTTGAAGATCTTCCTTTAAGCAAAGGCTTTAGAAAAATAGTTTGCAACAGTGAGTAAACAAACACTAAAGCATGGACATTATAAGATTAATTAAATTCACAACTACAGGGTTGGCAGCCGAAAAGATCTTCAAGCAGAGATTAAATCAGGCAGGCAAGCACCATCAGGTGTGGTGATGTAGTACATAGCAAAGGCAGAACTAAGCCAGCTTCACACTTTCAATACCATTTTAGGTCTGAAGGTTTTTCCTGTAACTTCTCTAGTCTTTTTGTTGATACTAACTTTTTTTGCTGATCGCCTTACTCTGTGAAGGATCTTCAGCAGACTCAGAATCTTCTGGGCTTCTCTAATTAAAAGCAAAGACAATGGATCAGTGTTAAGGGGCTCTTCCAGCTGCTGCTATAAATACAGGAAAATATCAAATAAGTTCAAGCTTTCTGAATGAAAGATAGTAGCTGTTATTTGCATAGATATCATTAGAATAATTTATTGAGCACTGACAGTGTGATTGGTACTTCAGAAACACACAAAAAAGAAATCTCCCTTGCCCAGAAAAGGTTACAGTCTAATTCAGATAGGAAGACAGACATTCATAAGCACTGTTGTAACCCAAGAAAATCATGCTTCTGCTTGAATACACAAAAATCTGAGCCGAATGCAGAACTGAAAAGGACATTATAATTCAAATTGTATCTTTCAATTTTGTTATGCCCAGATAATTGTAGTTTCCTGGTGGATAGGACGTCTAAAGGATTTCCAAGGAAAAATGGGTAGATACCAGTGTCTCTTTGGAGTTCACCTACTCCACAGTTACCCTGTGAAAATACAAGCCTAAAAAAGATGATTATAAGTAGGTCTCACACCCTGTTAAAATACAGATACTTTTTTTCTTCAGGGTGGTAAAGCCTTCAGTGCCTTGCCTTGTGGCCTTTAGTTAGGTCTTTGTCTTGGTTAACATCAGGCATTGATGGTTGGGCATAGAAGCCCAATAGTACACTCCCCTGCAATGAGTGAGTGAAGACAGAGAAAGTATCTTTGTCCTTATCCTAGATGGTTAATTTGTTGCGTCAGCCCTAATTAATTAGCAGAAACTGCAGCTGTAGGGAGAAAAGAGAGAACATGAGGACCCTCTCTCTCCCCCTACCTCCCTGGGGCTTTTCCTTTTGGTTTGAGAAATTACTAGAAATTTGTGAGAGAGTGAGATAAGCCAAAAATCCTTATTTGCCAAAAACCAGAGAAACTGAATTTATAATCACTATCTTTTCATTTCTTGGCCAAAAAAGCATATTAAAGCCATTATGACAGCCAGTGAAGAGTCAACAGCAGCACGAAAG